CTCTCTCTCTCTCTCTCTCTCTCTCTCTCTCTTTCTCTCTCTCTCTCTCTCTCTCTCTCTCTCTCTCTCTCTCAGAATCTCGCGATTCCAAGGAGATGGATGAATCTATGCAACGCGGCGTACGTTTCCGTAAAGTGCCCATTTAGAATTCGGGTTCATTATCAATCCCGGGAAACAGCGAATTCTGATTATTTACCGATTTCCACGGACCTGATTTCATCGTCGTAAACAATCTTCCAAAACTAACGAAGTCTTCAATCGAAATAGTTTTGACGATCTCCGATCCCACCGATTTCGGTAGCATTGTTTATATACAGTAGAAATGGTCACGTTTTCTATTTTATATCGCTCACATATTCTTTCCAAATATGTATAACATCGACGATTATACTATAAAATCGAAATATGTACTTATGCGAATGTACGTTAAAAGGGGATCATTTCCGTTTGCATCTTTGTCATTAAAAATCAATTAATATTGCTGTATGTTCAGATTGCTTAATTTACGAAGATCCACCATGATCTATGCATGATTTTTGATACGAATTTAGCGCAAACGCAAGTATCGAATGTCATAATATAAAACCATCAAAATAATAGTCAGACTTTTTCGCTTCGGTCAGCACTGAAAGTACTGGAAGAGTTTGAAATGAAAATATTCATTGTAAAAACTAGAAACGAACGTAGTTTTTAAAATGAATGGTTTCGCACTTGTTCTAATACGATGTGTATACCTCTAATGTGACTTGAAAAATTTCCAAATCTGTTTCATGCAATTCTCTCTACTGTGAGATCATATTTCTCTCTTCCGTTAGCTCCTATATTCCAGTCTAGCCTTTTTTGTTACCACCGCCGCTTGTCGCTAGGCTTTTTACAATCCGTTTTGGGACTTGGCCCGGGCCACTCTTTGTCGTTCATAAGCACCTGCATTACGTGGATTAGCATCTACTATACTTTCGTATGACTTTTGCATAGCTTGATGTTGCCTTTCCCAATGTAATATAGTACTTTCCGTGTTGATTTAACCTGCAGTCCGTTTCGCGAAATATATGCAGCATTGAAACTTCCCCAGTTATTAAAATTTCTTCGTGCAACTTTTGACGCGTATGTTCACAGACGATGGTGCTGATAGAATTACGTAGTAATAAAGCAATATCGACTTCTTGAAATACGCATAATCAATAATTCATTGTAATTCTGTGTCTTCTTAATTAACCGGTGAACTTAAATTGCGTTATAGAAGCTTGCAGCTCGATGCACGAGAAAATTAATTTTTTCGTAATTAAAAGCAATTGCTGTCCATATCATGATTAAGATATCGCATTATCGTCGGTTTCCTCGTTCATAAATGGCTTCGAATGAATCGTTACGAAATTAGATCGTTCTCGAAAGTGCGATAATATATAAATATAACAGATGCGCGACTATCGATTACCGATATCGTATCACACACATATTATTAATACTTAACAATATATCAACGATATCGTATAGTTTGGTCGAGACGCATTTTACTTATTGTTGATCGTAGATTGTATATGATAAACATAAATATGTGCACATTTAAATCAATCCACATTGTCTTACGAAGGTACATATATCGACGATATTAATAAAAAGCAAATGGAAATTTGATCCTATAGTTTTATCAAGATACCGTTTGTAATCGGTACAGACAGAAATGAAAATCTTTGATAAAAAATAATTAATTCAGCATACTTTATTTTATCTCGATCACCTTAGCTTCGAAGTTCACATTTCTCTTAACGATATCCCATCGATATCATCGACATATTTGTCTTTGTTAACACTAAGTTCACCGAACGTATCATTTTTACGGGGAATTTATTCGATAAATTGGTTTCATTTAGCATTTCATTATAATAAAAATCCCTGAAAGCCTGTGTATAAGTATTTGCTTGTTATTTTCATGTAGCAACATGAAATAGTTGCTTCGAGCGCTCCGTAAGCCCAGTGTTAAAACAGTGTAGATTAATTAAAATGTGCACATATTTATGTTTATAATACACTCTTTATAATGTACAATGTAATTATGTAATATGTAAAATGCGTCTTGATAAAACTGTAGGATTAGTATTTTCAATTGCCGTGGCGATATCTTATCGATGTTATCAATATTTATCGGTGACTGTTATCGGACCACTAATCTATACGGTAACATTCGTTTTAATGAAAAAAGAATATCGCTTTGTCAGAGAATTTCGACAGACTTGCACACACGCGTATAATAATCGCGGAATTTGCGGCAGCTCCCCAACATCATTGCGATACATGTTATATTACGAGGTCAATGTTTCATCTTCAGACCGTACGTATTCGGAGGAGTTCATCACCGGCGAAAATGGAGTAGAATTACAACGGGCTCGTTATAACGGAAGGTCACGTATTTAATAACGTAGCGTGTATCGGCCGAGATAAATTGGATAAGACACGTATCAAGATTTATGCGGCCAGCCGAGATACTCCATGGACTAGAACGACCGATCCTTGACGAAACAATGCGTCCGTCGCCTAGGCGCTTGCCAATTCTCGTCGAGAGTTTCGCGAAATTTTCATCGCGATTCGCATCTCGTCGAATGTATACGATTCAAATCGATACGCGGGTAATACAGTGTCCCTTCCGCGGCAACTTCGTTTAAACTTTCCACGGTAACCTGCGACATTTCAAGCCACGCCTCGCATATAACGATATTAGATACGGTAGCTAGCGCGCTACGTTATTATCTTGTTATGAAACCAAGCACGGAGTTGCAGTTAGTTCGCGCTCTGCAACATTTTCAATGACAATCTCTCGTTATATCTAACGGCGCAAACCGAACGAAAATATCGAAAAGAAATTTCTACAAGGGTCCTCGAAGCACACTCTCACGAGCTCATTTTCTAGGTTTCTGAAATTACATTTGTTTAACCCTCCCACGACGTTTATAAAAATTTATAGTAATAGTGTTCGCCTCCCATAGGCTCGAGTAAAATCTACGTATCTTTGGGAACTACGGTATAATGCGATGTTTTTGAGCTTATTATATGAAAGCATTTATAATAGTTTATATGAGACAACAAAAGAAAGTAAAAATGTATTAATTAAAGTAGGCGAGGTCAATCAATTTGAATCCAATAAAGTGACAATATCATAATAATTATATTCTTACATGACTATACCGATTAGGAACACTCAAATTTTCATATGATTTGTCGTATCAATAAGATTTTGCGATTAGTTGTGGTCGCAAAAACTGTTTTCTGAAATTTGGTTACAAATCTTTGTTCCAACTAGATTAATGTGATACCTTATTTGCTTATGCATATAATAATACTCACAAAAGTGAAAGTAAATATTTTTTAGCACGGAAACAATTTTCGGACTGCATACTTATACTGTATAAGTATGCTTAACGAAAAAAAGTTTCAGATGAAGGATGGTGAAAGATACTACCAAATCTCTTTCTGAGAATATTATTAATAAACCCTCTTTTCTTATGTCTAATCCAAATTTGTCTATTTAGTTTCCTGAATTTAAATTTGAATTCAAATTTCATACCGTGTCTTTCGCCTCCCTTAGGTAAAGATAATGTGAATTCACAATTATTACCGATGATACAGATCTCGCTTCCACGTTGTCATGAAGTTTATGATATTCAGAAACAGATTCCCGAAGGAAGTAGCGAAGATGGAAGTTAAAAGTGCCACGGATATCGTGTTTCTCGAAGTAACGATTAAATAAACATCAAATGTCCCGTCGAATTGTACGGGTCAGAACTTTGTTTTCTTCAATCGTTTCTCCGCTTGCAACTTTCTACTCTCGATCTTGACCCGCTCTTGGGACAACGTAGTCCTTCGGTCTTAATTAAGAAGTAATTCACCGAGGGGATAATGTTTAACGCCGAGCCAAGATCAAAGAGAAACGGCCATGAGCGACGAGGGTTTCCGCGCGAAATACGATTTCTTTGAGAAAGTTCTACTCCTGATTCGATTAAATTCAAATGATACACACCCTTTGACTACGGGATCCAATTATTTCTGACGCTAGTCGTAACCGGACCGACAATTAACGGTACGAAAACTTGTCTGTCTTCGAGCCGTTTCCTCGGATCTTCAATCTCGCCCCTCATGTTTATCCTTTCGGCCAGGCTTTCAGCCAATTTTTTATCAATTATTTATGCGTATCTTTGTTTCTCCTAAACGTTACAACGCGCTTCTTTCACCACGAAGTCGAGGAAATTTCGTGATAACAGTGTATTTCACATGTAGACGTAAGTTTAGACGAATATAATAATTTATTTCAATTTTTATGTAGTAGCTTAATCAACATCGCAACAAAAAACTAATTCAAACGAAGAAAAACAAAAACAAAAGTGTTCCTAGGCCTTTAAAAACGCAATAACTTTTTTAAAGCTGAACTAAATGACATAATTTTTTTAGGTGATAAAGGGACTAGTTTACTAGACAATTACAAAAATGCTTTTAAAAAATACCTGTCGTATATTTCGATATTAAATGAAATATTTACTATTATTATTTAAAATTCTAAACGTGAACAGGGGAATATAAAAGAAACATTTGCTCGAAGTTATAATTGCGAAATAAGTGAGATTTGGTTAAACTTGTGAAGGAACCAATTAATACAATTTTTCTCGAATAACAGCATTTGCAATTTATTGTTAAGAAATATGACCGCGAAAGTAAACTCGATCACAGTTTACCCAGAAGGAAACGGAGAAAAATAAAATCACTGGTGACGTTTCGTATTGGTTGATTCGAAAGGAACAAATCTGGAGAAAGAATCTCGTCGGTCCGGTTGTCTGCAATTCGGTTCAGATATAATTTTTATTTATTTACACAAGGGTCGGGCACCCTTAGCCTGACACAGGATCGCAGCGCAGGTTGGTTTATATTTTATTCATCCCTTATTGAATTCGAGCTCAATCTCATGAAAGTGTCTCTACCGTGGCCTTCGGTCTCCCATTCTCTTTTTCCTCTGTCTGTTCTTTCTTGGATCGTTATCTGTTCTCCCTTTCCGTCTCCCTGGCTTCTTCGTGGATGGGTATTCCAATCTCCCTATGTTTCCGTCTGCCTCCGCTCCCCTTCGTCCTCAACAATCCCTTGCACTGCCAAGTCTCCGCGATACTCTACGACGTTCTCCTTCTCTTTAAATCTGTGCCCGACATCTTCGCTTTTTCACCGCCCGATTGTTTTCAGGCCCGAAACCAGAACTCTCCACTGATCCATCAGTTCGAATCAACTAGGACGAGAATAAAAGGGAGATAGAGATCCAGCGAGCCCCGGGCGAGACAATTAATTTGTAGGAAGCGCGATGAAGTACTCGTGTGTGCCGACAGAATATTTTAAGTCCACTAGATTCTGTTCTAGCTTCCAAACTATAGTAATCTCTCCCTAATTCGCGCTCAGATCGCGCACGAAAAGGACAATTTGGAAAGAGAAGGTACGATTATTCTACTCTTCCCAAATTGTCCACTTTTGTGCGCGATCTGAGCGCGAATTGAGGAGAAATTATTGTACACGTTTACACAGTTTTCTTATCCCCTTACTGTACTTTTATTGTAATTAATAATTTGTTCGCATCAGAGCTAATAAATAACTATGATATTCGGTTAGGAAGCCTTATCTCCCTATTTTGTAATCGTATTATATTGATTATATTACACTGTTATGTTATACTAATTTTTATAAGTTCACGTTTACGGTTTAATCGTACGGCAAAACATGTCGGGGATGTTCATCGTTGTTAACTCGCCACTTCAAACTTTTCAAAGTGAACAATCTCACAGCAGGAGAAAACCGAAGCTATCGAATTACGTAACTGTTAGGTAATTATTATGCGGGAAATTTCAATCGTAATTAAAACCGCACGAACTTATGGTTCGACCAATACAAGCCCCGGATCCCGTCGACTCATGCAACGGCGCGCAACGTGTGCTTTAATCAGCGCGGAAAGACGCTGTTTCCGCCTGAATATTTCATCGAGCCTCCCTTCTGATCTTTAATTCCTTTATCCTCTCAAGGCTCCTTAACCGCCGCGATTCTAGCTACGCCCAGACAACGACAAATCCCGTCTCCTCCTCGGTCTATTTGCCGTTTCTATGCACTCGAGTCGTTCTCGCCTTGCAATTTCAGGAGTGTCAAGGCAGCACTCGTATCCAGACGCTATTAAATATTGAGAAACCCTATCCACCGTCGTCCAACTATCGGTTCAATCTCTCCTCTTCGAAAGAACCTTCCGAAAATCTTGAATGAAACTTCGCCCGCAGAAGTTGCGAAATGGAGCTATCGGCCGGCTAGAGTGCTCCGCGGATTAGATGGTTAATTGGAAGCTGAGGACGGGGAAGTTTCTATTACAGAAACTGGCCAAGTTATTCCGATATTCGAATCGAAAGGGAAAGTGAAACAGACGTACGGAGCATGCGAGGCGCGTCGCGCGGAGCCAATAATTCTGTGAACTGTAACCTGACGACTGCAGCCTGCACTAATCCGTGGAGTATCGTATTTATGTCTGAGTATCGGATCAAACACTGCAGTCTAGACGGATGTGCTTTAAACATCTAGAACGACACTTCTCTACACAGTATTTAATAACCAGTTTCGTATATCGCGTCGAACTACTTTCAAGGCGGCTAAGCTCTGTTTAGAAATTCTACCGAATTAACTGGACAAACTGTTCGAGTAGAAAAATTTGTTCCGAAAGCAAAATTGCACAGAATTAGATACTATATTCGAAAACAATGTTCGCGCTTCAGGAAAAACTTAATTAAAAATCGATGAAATTCTTCTGCAAGCAGAATGAAAGAAAACGAACGTTGCATAGTTAGCAGTTTCGGAGACAACAATTAAATTGACTGCGAATCTTTGCGCAAAATAATTTTCTACCCGAATCGCAACACGCTGAAATAAACTGAAAGTTTGCGTCTTTTCGAAATAGGTCTGATTTGTTGAAATTAACGTAACAGTGTTCTCAAAGACCTTTGAAATGTTCGCTCAACTGAGAAATAAAAATGCTAGGCAACGGTTCACAAATTACATCATGTTGCAACATTATTATAATCGATTTTGCGTAAAATGGCTCGTGTACCGAATTACAAAATTTCCAGAAAAAAGAAAAAGAACAGAAAAAAACATGTGCTCAAGAAGCATCAGAATTTGCTCTGAACAAACGCAAACTTCATCTTGGTATCGCAGAGATGCCTTCGATAAGCGACAACCGGTCTTGTGTCTGAAATAAATTTCACCGTAGTCGATTTCAATGAACTGTAACGAAGGAAAGGCCTTGAAACGGAGGCACCGGCACAATTAAACCGTTTTACGCAGCGTGGCGAGACGCTCAAAAACCGTGCGAGGGGATACCGGTACGAGTATACCCGGGGATGAATGTGTTTTGCTTCTCGCGGAAAGACAATTCGAACGTCTATGAGAGTGTAGAGGAGGTGGAACGATGAATTTAAACGGACAAACCAAGAAACAGAGAATGGAAGCGGAAAAGTGGAGGAACGAGGAAGAAAAGGAAGGGGTAGTGCCATCGAGTAAATCGGGCGGAAAACGCGGAGATATTATACAAAGAGTGAGGAAGGGAGATGAAGCAAAAGAAAAGGAGAGACGAAGACAAAGAAAAAGTGATGGAGACAGATAGAGAAAAGTGAAGGAAGATATACACTGCGTCTCGTTACTATAAAACCAGCCAACATTTCTCAGTTTTTACACGTCCTGGTTAATATGATGACGAACGGAGCATGCCATATTTAAGATTACACCGAAAAACGATACTTTTCTAAAAAGAGATCAATTTTATTCGGCAAAGAAAGGAAAAACGGAAGAAAACTAATTTATTCTTGTTCCATGATTATAGAACCAACAGAATGGAACGCTTCGTTACACAAAAATTCAACGGAAAATACAACGAAATGAAATTACACTGATAATTTAGTAACGCGTAAGTCCACCACTATTTTCAATGAATTCAAATGTTCGATTTCGCATACTTCCGATCAGGTCTTGTCCTACCGTTTCTTGTACCTCGTCGCGCCGCTGTTACGATTGCATTTTTCGATTCAGATGTGTTTCGATGTTTCTTTCGTTTCTTTCCGGTGCTTTTTCTTTCAGAGTAAACACATCATTTGCCCTTCCAGAAAAATGCATCGTTTCTCGACACGATTTCGAACACGCGGCATGCCTCGTTCGTTGTTACATTAACTCCAATGTATAAAAGCTGATATTTTTTGGCGACTTTGTAGTTATGAGAAGCAAGCGTAGAGAGAAAGGGATGGCGAGAGTGAGATAGAGACAGCTGGAGAAAGAGATAGGGAAAGATGAAGAAAGGGATAGAAAAAGGGGCGGGGGAGGAATGAGGATCGGGACGAAAGGGAAGCGTAAGAACACGTTAGCTTTGGTAGGACGACAATGTTCTCAGGCGCATCCTCGAAGAGTGCTGCTACTGGATGGAATCCGGGTTCCCTTAATTACAACGACCCTCTTCTCTCCCATTAATAAGCGGCCTAAACAAACTGCCGTCATATAAATACTTGGATTTCTACCTCGTCCACTCTCTCGTACAAGCAGCTTCCTTCTCCGTTGTCGTTCCTCCTCGGTCCCTCTTCCGCCCCACCCAGCCACCCCCCTCCTTCTCGCACTCCCTGCCCTCTTCCCTATAATTAAATTTGCACTGCGCTTCGTGAGTTTGGCTCCTCCGTTCATTTAATCGGACACCGGGCGTTAGTATAATTAAAAGCACATCTCTTTTGGAATTCACCTCGTCCAAATCTCTCACACTCTCTGTCCCGTTCCCTGTACACGGGTTTCCTTCTCTGTTTCTCACGTTTCTATGTCTCACCCAGCAGCTCCTCCTCCTCCCACCCCAGGCCCCGGCCGACTACCCTCTCTTTTCTAGATGAGCATCCTCTTGTTCTCTAATTGCGAGGCACTCGGCTGTCTGTACGTGTTTTTGGCGTTTCTATGCGAGGAACAGGACCGTTCTCCTCTGTAAAACGATCTGCGAGCAAAGTAGACGCATGCGAACCGTTTGGACGCCGGCTCGTTCGCGAACGGCGGGGTTAGATGCTCGTGGAACTTGTTTCGACCCGGCTACGTGCCGCATTTTTCGCTACGGAAAGGAGAACGGTCTCTGGATTAGAAAATAATTGAGCCACGGTAATGGACCCCGTACGCGTCCACGGACAGTACAAATTTTCATGAGCCAAACAAACAGAGAATTAGAGAGGCGATTTGTTCTTCAACGCGTTCGCCACCAGCGTCGCATACGTGCGACGATCGCGATTCTTTATTTCGCGTAGAAAACGCCGAATTCATTTTACGAATGTCACTGTTCAAGATTATAACATATAATACGATGTTTAGAAAATTGGGCTGAGTCGGAAAAAAAAATTTGGTATAACATGTTTTTATCCGAGGCTCCGTTCCCGAGAAAATCGACTTTAACCCCTTGTCGTAGTCCGACTCGTCATGAAAATTTCTAGTAATAACTTATCGAGTATAGACGTTATTCTGCCCCGTAAAATTGGAATCAAATTCTAATCTCACGTCATCAATATTTAAGCAATCTAGTAAATTCAGGCACACGATAAGCATCAATTTTCTTCCCCTTCTAAGAAATTATTGCAATCGAAAAATTTCTAATCGCAGTAACTGCGAAGAAAATGGTATGTCGAGAGGTTCATGTTTGTTCACCTATGCGAATAATTTAGTTATCGTCTATTCTTCTACCGGTTGTCTCCGTCCGCGATAGAGTAATATGTCCGATTCGATAAAAATGAAATTAATTACGCCCGAAAACAAACCAAAGGTACAGGAATTGGTCTCTCCATGGTAACAGGCACCACTACCCTGTACCAGGAGCGGGGTACTTATCGAACGAAATACTTAAAATTCGTCGTTCGATATCTTTTTTTTTTGTTTCGATCAAAGCTATTCGTCTCGTCGAAATGTCGAGTAGAGCAGCTGCTAAAAACCAAAGGAAAGCCGGGAAAGAAGGTAACGATAGGACAAAAAAAAGAAAAGAAGCGAGTATAGCTGGTTCAATCGTCAAAGGCAACGGTATCGCTAATTTCCTACGCGCACAGTAGTCACGCCGCGTCTCGGCTGCCTGACGGCCGCATTGCCGCGCTGCCGCCTATCGTTAACGAAATTCCCTTCCCGCAGCTGGAAACAAAGCGTATTCAAAGCAACGACCTGTCGTTTATATGCATATAGCTCGGCCGTTCGTTGTCTTTAAATGTCTCACGGTGGAATAAAATACTGATACCCTTCACGCTGCTATCCACAGGGCTTTCTCTTCCCCCATTCTGGTTCACGGGTTGGCGTTACGAACCGATGGATGCGATGGCTGGAGTACGGGGAAGAGAAGAGGCCGCGTCGCAGCGGGTGGATCGTGGAGATCGAGAGCAAGAGAAAGAGAGAGAAAGAAAGAAAGAGAGAGAGAGAGAGAGAGAGAGAGAGAGAGATCGAGGAGGGGCGGTAAAAGCGGAATTCGTTTAACTGGCATCGAATACATTTCTTTCGACGGTAGACGTCAATTAACCGTACTCTATTGAAATTGACGTTAAATGTGAAGAGACGAAAGAAAGAGAGAGACGGCAAAGAGGAAAGAGAGTCGAAACACA